CCTCCACCGTCAATTGATTACCCACTTGATGGGGAGAAGATACTTCACATTGATGGCAAAATAAGAGAGACATGTTGTGAGGTTTTGTTTGAGCAAGACAATGAAGAAATGTCTATAGCTACATTGATACTAGAATCAATATTAAAAGTAAGTATAATGCAATTTGTTTTGGTTGTTTTGTATGTGCACAGGCACTGTTACGTTATCTTATTAGATAAATTACGTGCTAAGACGTTTACATAAGCACATGTGCTTAAAATATTACCAGTAATTCCCTGATTATTTATTTGAGAAATGAAGGATCATATTTTTGCCGGTAAGGAGTATACATGCTTTGTACCGGATATGTATATATGATGAGTGTATATCTGTTATGTATAAGATGCCTTTGTACGTGCAGCTTCACTTACATTTTGATAAAGGTTTTGTTTGAGGTGAGTTTTCAAATGCTGGGTTATACAATGCAAGGTTTCCATAGAGATTCAAGTTGGAGGCCAATATGGTAGACAAGATACACCTTCATGCAACTCATGGAAAATTATACACTCACTACACTAGCTCATTTTGCTAGATTTGGGGCTCACTGCCATCACATGCAACTCTGCATTAAAGAACATACATTGCATACTTTCCATAAATTTCAGCAACCTAACGTACCTGATTCGTTTCTACCATTTCAGTGCCCTTTAGACATACGGAGGGAGTTGGCTGAAAATATTATCTGTGTTGGAGGTACATCACTACTGCCAGGATTTCGACTCAGACTTAAAGCTGAGCTGTTAGATTTACTTAACAAACCAACCTACAAAAACAGTTTACCTATTCCAACTATTAAATTTCACAACCCGCCTTCTGTTGCCAACTATACTGCCTGGCTCGGAGGTAAGTTTGTTGTTTTAAAAACATCCTAATATATAGCAGTGTAGAGTACGTCTGTCTTTGTGTTCGCTCATCCGCCTGTTTATCCGTCAACCAATCTTGTTCCACTGGAAGCTCAAGGAACGCTTGTCACAATTCTCCATTCTTTTTTTTAATGTCAGATAGGAAAAAAAAATTAATGAAATAATATTCTCTGGACTTTCATTTGCAGGAGCAATATTTGGCGCTTTGGATGTACTTGTCCACAGATCTGTTTCCAGGGATTCATTTCTGCAGCATGGCAGGCTTCCAGACTGGTCGTCACTCGATAATAGCATTCTTGAACAAGATCAACAACCTAAAGAAAAGACTCCTATTGCGCCATTAGCAACAGTGAGCAGACAATTCTCCAAAGGCAAATAATTTTTTTTTTTTTTTGCAATCTGCTACGAATGTAAAGCCATTAATTAAAGTTTATTGTCGGCAGTCTAATTTATATTTCTTGGTATAATTAGGGAAACAGTGTCACAGTGAGGCATACAAATCAGTAATACTGTGGGCACATTCAGTAATCACTAGGTCTTATTTTGCTATTTTCACTGATTAGAAAATCACTCAATCAATGTGAATGTGTAAAAATACAATAAAATTTATTGTTTCACAATTTCACCAAAAAATTCATGAATTTTGAAACCTTTTTTTTTTTGTTTAAATATTTTCAATTTGAATTAATGTATTTAAAACCTAGCGAATATGTTCAAATAGTAAAATTAAATATCAGTGTAAAATTGCTTTTACAATCTCCACGAGTCCCTTTTCACTGATGGGCTGTACAATCTGTGCAGAACAGAAATTACTTCAGCTTGTATGCTTTTTAATAATTCCAAAAAATGTATTTCATAAAATTAAATTTCTAAATCAGCAGCTGCATGATATAAGGTTTTGGAACCCTGTCAAATAAACAATATAGTAAACTTTAGATAATGTACAATGTAGTACCCCTGCAATACATGATATTAATGATATTGATATTAAAATTCAAAACTCTGTACATGATAATTTGTGTCAGGTGTCAGGTAACTGATCAGTTCGTTTGATCATCATGTACATTTACATATTTTTGTTCCTGGCGGTAGTTTCCCAAATATTGAATGTCTCTTTTTTTGGGGTGCAAAATACACTGCATTTTTCAATAGTGATCATATTCCATGTTTGGAAGCATGTGACAGGGACGTGTGACGTCTTCATGTCATAATGGCAATTTAATGCATGTAGTGCATTTTTCTGACGGAAACCATACTCCATGTTAGAGACAGGGCTGTGTGCACATCTTCTATCATAGTAGCAATATTACCCCTAAAAGTCACATCTGTTAGTTAATGTACATTTTAATTATTCCAAAAATCTCATCACAAATACTGAAATTCTATGCTTAATATCTGTTAATATCTTAATATCTGTTATTCAATAGAATTGCATGTGTTTACAAAAATGACCTGGGTCAGTGGGAATTTGGCAGGTACTTAAAATCCCACCATAACAATTTTTGTTTTAATATGTGCATCTCTGGAGATGTGTTTCCAATATAGCAAATATTGTATTTTGAATCAGTGGCCTGTAAATCATTGTGGAAATTATAAAATTCTGTCTATGACTAGATTCTTAAATGCTGATTTAAATTTATTTATTATAAGAGTATTTTTGAATCAAATACGCTAGAAAATACTGGGACAGGCAACTGTGGTCTTTTCTTGAATGTACCGTATCTTAATTAAGATTTGATCGTGGTTTTGAACAGTCAACACGAAGGATTACATTTCAATATTTCATGATAAATTGCAATATAGATGCGTTCAAAACAAACACATTTTTAAAAATCAGACATACACTATTTGAACAATTTTTTTTCTAAATTTTCGTCAGGCTCTGTAGTACCCGTAACATAATTCGGAAACGTAATGATATACTGTAAAATACTTTATTTCCACTTGGAATTTATTTTTGCTGCTGGGATGATTCAGTGAAAATAAAATCCAGCGAATATAACTTTTTTTCCTATATTTCACATTCAAGTCATCAAAAAATCAGTAAAAATTAAATCCAGCTAAAATACAATATTTTATAGTAATGAACTGTGATTACATAGAAATTCCAACAAACTTTTTCATTTTCTTTATTTATTGAAAGTCTATATTGTATTTTATACGAGTCACAATTTTAAGTTTTTTTTTTAAATTCAAATAAATTAAATTACTTGTTTATTTGAGGTATGATAGTTGAAAATTTACTATTGATCCTTTTTTTGTGTTACATTTCATACCATGGTTCTTTTCAAATAAAGTGAAAATAAACCAAGACTATGATTGATTTGGTGGTAAGATTAGGTAATGTTTCTGTTTGTTGTGGTTACATCTCCTAGGTATATTGTTCGTATTTTACCGCAGCATTAATATCTGATATTACGGATAATAAAAGTATTGTCGCTTAACGTATGTTTTGTGTGTGTTCTTTTCTCATCTTTTAAAGCACATTTGTCACAGCATTCAGTGTTCGTGATGGTACCGTGCAACATATACTATGCATGTAGAAGGCCCGGTTTGTTCACTTGAAATTAGAACGTTCACTGTGAGATGACAGTGACGATTTATATTTATGAAGTCTATTCTATCAACATCATCTCTTGATCCAAAATGGAAAATTCAATATTTTTTCACCAAGACAAAATCAATGCATAATTGCGATATGCGATTTGAACAAATTGTTGTAGATATTACATTTTAATCCAACTTTGAACTTTCATAAACAAAAAAAAAATATCATGGTTATAAACAAAACATGATGAAATTATCACTGCAAAAAGTGAAATATGAAACTATGTAAATCAACCTCTATGATACATCAGTACAGTGACTAAGTAATGGTTATTGCCAGTGCAAAAACATTCAACATTTAAAAAAAAACTTTAATCCAAGGTATTTCATTGGAGTTTTGAAACAAATTAGGCCCAAAAACTGCCGACTGTTTAAAAGGTGGTAGTCGTTGCGCTACGCATGCACGAGATATGGGTCTCATAGAAACAAAGATGGCACCTTTGGCTGTTGCGCAGATCAACGAGTACAAACTGAGACGTTTAATTAGGTGTTTTTGACTCCTGTGTGCGAAGCAGACAATGGGATTCTTTGCAGTTTAGGTTTAGTAAAGGGGGAAGCCATGGTTCAATTTATATAGGAACACAATTTAATCAAGTTCATATCTTAACTATATTAAAAGTTAATTGAACTATATTAAAAGTTAACGTGTCTCGTTACGATGGTTAGACATGTATATGTTTGTGTGTGTCTGATCGTTCCACTGATATCTCAAGAACCGTGTGCTGGTTTTTAATGAAACTTGGTGTATAGATGCTCTGGGCTAATGTGCAGATTTGATTAGGTTTTGGTTGAAATCCAAGCATATTAAAACCTAATTTATATGATAATTAGCTAATTTTTAGCTGTTCCATGACTGTTCCGCTGATATCTAACGAAACTTGGTACATGGATGCTTTAGACTAATTCACAGATTTGATTGGTTTGGGGTAAAAAATCATGCATATTAATCACCTAATTTGCATAATGATTAGTACATTTTCAGCTTTTCCACTGATATCTTGAGTACTAATCATCACATTTCAATGAAACTTACAGAGATGTCATAGGACAAGCACAGACCTGATAAGTTATTAATATTTGTGCATATTAATTACCTAATTTGCATAATTAATACATTATTTACTCCAGTGTGCAAAGCACACAATGGGAGTATTTGCAGTTAGCCTGTCTGTATGTGTGTATGTGAGTGTGTCTGAATGTTCCACTGACATCTCAAGAACCATATGTTGATTTATAATAAAACTTTGTGCATAGATGCTCTGGGCATGATAATTAGCTAATTTTTTAGCTGTTTCATGATTGTTCCACTGATATCTAAAGAGCAATTCATTGGATTTTGATGACTTGGTACATAGGTGCTCTGGACTAATGCACATATTTGATTATTTTTGGTTAAAAATTAAAGCATATAATTAACCTAATTTGCATTATGATTAGTCAATTTTCAGCTTTTCCACTGATATCTCAGGTACTAATCATCGCAGTTCAATGAAGGCACAGACAGATATGTGAAATATTAATTACCTAATTTGCATAATTATTCACTTTTCAGCTTTTGATTCAAATACGATTACCTCATTACTTTTCAATGAAACTTGGTACATAGATGCTCAAGAACAATGCAGAAACCTGATTACTTTTGGATGAAAATGTGTACATATTAATCAACTAATTTGCATAATTAGTTAATTTCCAGCTTTTACATTGATATCGCAATTACTAATTTTCCCGTTTCAATGAATCTTGGTACATAGATGTTCTAGGACAATGCACAGACCTAATTAGTTTTGAGTTAAATTCAGTGCATATTGATTACCTAATTTGCATAATATTTTGTTTTGGTCTGTGACAGTACTTATCTTAATTCAATGAATCTTGGTACATATATACTCAAACAATATGTGATGATCTGATTAGTTTTAGGTTTATATACATCTATAATAATTACCTAATTTGCATAATAATCCACAGACATGATTAGTTTAATTTTGATAAAAATGCATATTGATTATTTATTATTAGCCTATTTCTGATATCTAAAAAAATCAGATTCAAATTGAATTCATCACAGAGATGCTCTGCAATTAATTGTACTGAAAAGCATGTCTGAAAAATCAAATGTATTTTCCGTATGTATTATGAATTTTGATAATGTGAATTGCATTGTTTTCATGTTGTGCATCTTGTGTTTCTCCAATACTCAGCACACGAGAGTTCTTTCTAAGCTTTTTTTGATTTAGGTGATTGGAAGGTATCGAAGGAGTCATCGGTGGTAATTAGTGTCGCCCAGGTCAAACCTCATACTTGCAATTTCCATTAGAAAAGCGCATTGGATTATAGAAAAATCAATGTTTATCAACACAAATGTTGCACATGCGCAGCACGACCACCACCGCTCTTTAATACTTTTGAACTTAATTGTTGGAAAATGATTTCAATGAGAAATCAATATCAATTTCACCTTATTTTTTCCCCTATTCATTTTTGCTATCTGTTGAGACTGTCATCAGGAAATATGTTAACCTCATATGACGAAGAGGAACTACATAGTCAGGGGCGGATCTCGGATTCTGGAATAGGGGGGGGGGGCAATAAGTTCGGCCCCCCTCTAAATCCGCTCATGATAGTATAGTATATAGTACCTGGGATAGGAACAATCACTTGGAAATTCTTGAAAATAACTAAATAAGGAAGGGAGAAAGAAAAGATAGGAGATATACATTCAATTATCACTATAAAAACAAATATTTGCCATCTTTGAAAATAATAAAAAATAAAAAAAAAAAATTTTAATACATCCTCCTTCGGACCGGATTCGAACCAGTGACCTATGGATGACAGTGTCATTTACCTCTACAGTCCACCGCTCTACCAACTGAGCTACCGAAGGGATTTCATAAATTTTGTGATTTCTAAAATATTTATTTAATCGATTGCCAAAATGTTGCGTAGACGTTTTATTCACCTGCCTTTTCATTTTCATTTTGATTTTTGGTGGTATTATACAATGTCTAGGTTTTAATAAAAGCATCAGCTTTTACTGAACCCGTGTCTTTCTTTGTGTACATCACAAAACGAGTTCTGGTTCTCCCACAATTCATTGCGCCAAATGTGTTCAACATGGCGGACATGCAAGAAAGTGTTGTCGAAGAAGCAGCAAATTCCATAGCAGACGCTGAATCTGTTATTCCGCACCAACTACCCGAAAAGGTTCTAAATCATGTAGACGAAATAACGGTCTTTGGTTTTGATGCATTAGAGAAGGAACACCCGCCAATTGATGCTGAATACATGCGCCCCACGGTGTCGGTCGTCGATGAAAACTCAGGTTTGGTCCTGCAGTCAGAAAATGTATGTTCGTTCCAGGCAGCCCCGTCGTCCCCCTCTGACATTTCGCCTGTGGTGAGCGAGGCACCTATGCAGACAGAAACGATACAAGAGGCGGTAGCCCCCACAGAGGCCACCATTCTCTCAAATGAAAATGTCAGTCCAGCTGTTACGCTACCAGCTAGCATGTTACTTGGGTCAATCGCAAATTTCATCGATACATCTGCAGGAAACCAAACAAATTTTAGCATCAACGACTTGCAGAACAATCCATCTTTAATGAATGTTTTGAACAGTGCGGAAGTCCAATCTGCTATTCAAAACAATCAACACATAACCATAGTACAGGTACCTGACAGATCACTTTTGGGAGACTTCAATAATCTAGGGGACAAAAACTTTTCTAATCTCATACAAGTACCATCATCATTAACATTGGACAACAATGTTAGTAATTTGTTGAAAACACAAAATGTAACTGCAGCTACAATACCAACAGCCAACCATTTATCAAATGTTGTCACGACGACTCCTACCCCTACTGTACAGCCTTCGCCAATAGTAACTGCTGTTGGAAAACAAAATAAATCTGACGAGAAGAAAAAGCCTCGCCGTGCTGTTACACGGTCAGGTCGTGTATCAAAGCCGCCAACGTACAGAGTAAGAGACTATAAAACCTTAAGACCGGGTGCCTTGGCAATGTGCAGTGATTCGGAAGAGTATTCAGACTATACTCCAGATGATGAAGATGGCGAAGACGCTGATCGCTCAGAAAACGTCAAATACCCGTTTGATTCAGAAAGGCCGAAACGGTTCCAGTGTGATAAATGCGATAAATCATACATTGGTAGGGCCGGCCTCGCAAGGCACTATAGACTGCAGGCAGATCATGGTAGTATAGAAGACATTCCAGAACCAGCTCCAACTCCAACTCCAGCACCTGTCCCGAAAGTACAAGTGACGTAAGTATCTAAGAGAAGTGAGCGGAGTAGAAGTTATTGTATTTTAGTTTATACATACACAATAACTTGGAACTTATTTTGCACTTGCCACTGAAAGAGCAACTCATTTCTTTACATGAAGTAATTTTTTACCAGGAAAAATGCATATTATTTTGTCATCAGGATACTGATCTGAACTATCATACATGTATTATAGACTTAAAAAATGCCAAATTTCTTTTACAAGATTGTGCTTCCAAGCATATACATGAATAATTGTTATCCAATCATCTAGAAACTTCAGACAATTTAGATATTTACATTACTGAGATCCAGATGTTAGTCTACCGATATGCAATACTAGTCTTTGTAGTAATCTGATATCTTATTTTCTGTTGTTTGAATCATTTTAAAACCAAAGTTTAGTCAGTTCTGTTTTTAAACGTTATTTTGGGCCAATGTTTTTATGCAACATTTTGCTGGGATAAAGTTTTGTATTGTTTTAGCCCCTGGATCCATGGTGTTGTTTTGAGTGGGCATTATTTACATTCGGTCGCAGGCTGCCCACTCAAAATGGATCCAGATATAGCAAAATGTAGTGGATGAGCAGCAAATTGATTCCCACTGTTTTTGATCAAGCAATCAAAGTTAGTTTTTTGCTGTGTCAACCTCATGATCCATGGTGGTGTTTGAGAGAGTAGTCAGTGATCTATTGTAAATAATACCCACTCTGACAACATTGTGGGATCGAGGCCTAGTATTGTTTTGGTTCTTTTTATGCACTCTATGTTCTATAGTGGACAGAAGAGACCTTGAAATTCATGAAGTATTTATAGAGGAACAACAAGCTTATATAGTTTGATAATTGCTAATGACCTCATTATTTGTGTTTATATTTTGACTACTCATAAATACATGTACTAGCATTTGCACTAGTCTTTTTGCCCTGTCTATTTTGGTCATAATTTTTCTAAGGGACCATGAGATTAATACTGTTCATATAATATTGAGGAAGATTAATTCTATAAATGATTACTTGTTACTTCGTTATTTTCGTTTATATTTGTCAAAACTGAGAGTATTATAATTGTTTACTTGTATGTGCTATTAGTTACATACAGTTCAGTTTTTGGCCAGAATTTGTCTACCTAATTTCAAACTAGCTGAAATCATTGTCACTGTCAGGCTTTTTCTTTTCTGTTTTTTCATTTTTTTCCACGTAATGGTACATACTGGTAGTCACAACCTAGTTGCATAATACACTGTGCAGTATTATATTAAAGTGTTCAGAAATTGAAAATGTTTGTTTTACAAAAATGTCCATTTTTTGTTGTGCAGCGAGACTGACAGACCAATGCCAAGGAGACGTGGAAGGCCCCCTAGATTAATAAAGCCTGCCCCGACAAGTGCGGAGTATGCAGTCAATACACCCAACTCCGTACCTACCACTGCTACATTGGATGGTAACAGTATGGTACAAGGGGATGGCCAATCTCAGACACCAAGTGATGTCAAAGTCATTTATCAAGCTCAGACGCTTGGGAAAAGAAAACAAAGAATAAAAGAAGTGAGTGTCTCCCTGTTGCCTCGTTTCCTGCTTTCTTTAGAAGGAAAGGTAACCAGGAATCAGTTACTGCCCATATATACTTCTGTGATAATTGTGGTGGCCAGTTTAGCTTATTACTAATGCATGTGTATTAATATTATATCAACGTCAAATTGTTTCGTAAAGCTTACATTGCAAAACATTTAGAGGGATGTCACCTGTGCACGCACAGGAATTGAGTCCCAAGCGACGATAACAGCACACGCTGAAAACATAAAGGTTCATGGGTAGACGCTTGTTTGTAAACAATGACACACTATGGCCAACTGACGCATGCGCAGGTGACGACTTCCTCGCTTTAACTTGGGTGCCAGATTTCAACGCTCCGGGTCATACCATTATCAAAGGGGGCGTAAGTTGAAATACAAACAAAACAGTTTTCTTCCAGGATTTTTAGCAGCAATAAAAAGAAACTACATTCGCTGATACATGTGGTATTAAATGTATGCATAATATTGCAGTTACAAGCTACAATTGTGCTTCTTTTCTTAATTTTATTTCAGCTTCTGCAGGCATTCTATTAATTTCTAATTTAAATTATCATTTTATTTAGTACCGTGAAGGAACAACCTTGTTCAAGGAACAAATTGAACAGCATGCTTACTTTATTGTGGATATAAAGGCCACTTAAAGTATGTACTCGTAGATTCCAGGTTGAAAGAAAGGGGAAACCACATAGATTGACCCATGAATATTTATAATTCTCATTCATGGTGCAATATTTTTTCTTCCAACAGCTACTAAAAACAGTTGGAGATGAGGACCTTTTAGAATTGGTCCTTCCAAGATTGTCCAAAGTTGTCACAGTTTGGGAGTTTCTACTTATGAAAGTTGAAAAGGGACGACCATGTCGAGCATACTTTCCCGATGTTTACAAAGAGCTTGGAAAGATACGCAAACAGGTACAGAGGATGGCCGTCGAGTGTTTGGAAAAGGCTGAACAACCTGAGCCAGTGGAGAACAGTTCTGAGAATGAAGTAGATGAAAACATGGTCATTGAAGATGAAGTGATAGCAAACTTGCTTGGTATTGAAACAGGGTGTTACAAAGTCAAAAGTTCCATGCCAGAGGTTGAATTCAAATACAAGCTACTTGTCACCGATCCAACAGAGGCTGAGAGAATGCCGCTTGACAAGCGAACTCTTGAGGTTGTATCACAAGATGAACTTGTTGATCAGTCTCCAACAAAGAAAAGGAAGGTAGATTGTCAACCACAGAGCCCATCAAAGGTATAACCTCAAAATAATGTTCTTTACTTGAATAAATACTATAATTATGATAAAAGTCATAAAACATGCTGCAATAGTGGATATTCCACTCACTGCGAGTTCCCTCAAGATGACACAGGTCAAGCTTTGGTTCAAAATGGCATCCTTGCATAACATTGGGTGTTATTGACCTATTTCCACGCTTGCGATCCGCTTGTTTTATCGTTCTTTTTATGTTTATATGAAGGATGATGTCGACAAAAACACAGTGCTATGGCTGAAGAGCCTTTTACGTAAATTTGGTGTTTCAACATCGAATTCTACACCCCTTGCAGTGGCTGGTATTGGGCTTAGATGTTACCAAGGACGTACTACAGTACAGTTAGTACATCTATGATGTGATGATGTCTAAGCTCGGCTAAGCGCCCATCCCCTTAAAAAACGCTTTTAATTTGACTGTCTAATCATAAAACTTGGTCTTTGATCATTGCATAACGAATATTGGTAATCGCTTTTATATAATACAGCGTGAATATCGACCACTATGAGTATGTTGTGAATGCGTAGACCATGGTAACTGTGCATAGACTACACTTCGACAATGACCTGTTAATAAAAGTGAAATTTGGCAAATACTTCATGCCATATTCAGTTTACCTATCAAAAATTGCTAGTTAACAGTTTTTAGCTCCGCTGTCGACTTTGTCGAGCGGAGCTTATCATATGAGTGATTGTCCGTCGTCTGGTGTCCGTTGTCCGTGTCAATGTTTTACATTTTCGACTTCTTCTTGAAAACTACAAGTCTGAATGCTTTGATACTTGGTGTATATGTACCTTGGGTATACCTCTCTCAGATTTGTTCATTTCATGATCATATCTTCATTCTCTAATTTTGGTGAATATTTTTGTAATTTTTGGTAAAAAGTGATATTTTC